TAGAACCGCTGAACCATTGATACTAAACCCATACCCGAATCCCTAAATCCCTCATACCCTAAACTCTAAATCCCAAACCCTAAAGCTTAATCCGTAAGCCCTAGACCCTGAGCCCTAAACCATAAACCCTAAACCCTAGAGACTAAACACTAAACCCTAGACTTTAAACTCTAAACCCTAAACCCTAAACCATATACTTTAAACCCCTAAACCCTAAACCATATACTCTAAACTCTAGTGAGAAAAGACGATCTCGTTTAAGCAATCTCTTGTGACCATCTATATGTTCAAATCCATCATCTAGAAGGTTCATATAGAGTGTGATGGGCATAAGTTTTCTCAATTATTAATCAAACATTTATCTGATTTGGGGAGCTGGAGTAAAAAGAAGAGGTTGCAAAGTCTTTAGGTGATTAAACAATAAGCACACAAGTTCATCTATGTTATTAAAAACTGATATCAAGATTTATGAACCAATTTTCTCATTTTCATGTCCACATAAATGTATCCATTAGCCGATGGAAAAGAAAAAAAATCTAAAGTTCTCATCTACATGTCCACATAAATTTGTCCATTAGACAATGACCATGAAAAATAAAAGATCTCATATCCATGTTCACATAAAGATGTCAAATACATTACACAATGTTTCAGCCACTGTCGTCCATTCCCTTTGGAACTATTGGTCACTACGAAATGGAGAACAAATTTCACCATAGAAGAACAAAAAACTTTCACATAAAGAACCATGAACCATTTTTCCTTCATCAACGCTGCTCCTTTATCAACGCCGCGTCGATGGCCTTCGTAGTAGAAAGAGCACTAAATCTATACTTGATCAGTAACACAAATTCAAATCTCGGTATGTACACAAGGAAGAGAACAATTCAAGTATCCAAAAATATTAAAATCAAAGAAATTTTCAACACATGGGTTCATGAACAAAACATATACGTGGGTCAAACAAAATATGTTCTTTAAATTTGAATCTCATTACACACTCAGTTTCGTTCTTTCAAATCAAACAAGTAAAACTTTTAGTTATAATAAAAAAATTCTTAGCTATCTAGTTTAAACCCTAACAAAAGGATTGACTAAAAAATTCAAACACGAAACAATGCAATTCATCCAAAACAGAAGAACACCTCCATTAATGGGATCTTCTAATCAACCTACAAAGAACATATATTGTTTTGAGAAATCAAAATCTAAGCAAAATCAATTTAAACATAGATTCAAAATATTTAAGAAAAAGAGATTGAGTAGAAAAATCGGAACCTAACCTCCAAAATTCTTCAACA